AGAAGGAGAAGGCGGCGCGGGAGACGCTGGGCGGCAAAGAGGTGGCGCGGCTCGTGGCCGAGATGCTGGCGAAGGAAAAGGCGGTGCGGGTGGCGGCGGAGGCGGCGACGGAGGCGGCGCGGGCGGCGGCGGCGGCGGCGGCGGAGGCGGCGCGGGCGGAGGCGGAGGTGGCAAAAGAAACGGCGTCGGCGGAGGCGGCGCGGGCGGCGCGGGCGGCGGAGGCGGCGGAGGCGGCGCGGGCGGAGGCGGAGGCGGCAAAAGAAACGGCGGCGGCGGCAGAGGCGGCGCGAGTGGAGGCGGAGGCGGCGGCGGAGGCGGCGCGAGTGGAGGCGTCGGCGGCGACTGAGGCGGCGCGGGCGGAGGCGGAGGCGGCAAAAGAAACGGCGGCGGCGGCAGAGGCGGCGCGAGTGGAGGCGGCGGCGGCGACTGAGGCGGCGCGGGCGGAGGCGGAGGCGGCAAAAGATACGGCGGCGGCGGATGGCGGCGCGGGCGGCGGAGGCGGCGGAGGCGGCGCGGGCGGAGGCGGCGGCGGCGGCGGAGGCGGCGCGGGCGGAGGCGGAGGCGGCAAAAGAAACGGCGGCGGCGGAGGCGGCGCGGGCGGCGGAGGCGGCGGAGGCGGCGCGGGCGGATGCGGCGGCGGCGAAAGAAACGGCGGCGGCGGCAGAGGCGGCGCGAGTGGAGGCGGAGGCGGCGACGGAGACGGCGCGGGCGGAGGCGGAGGCGGCGAAAGAACAGACGGCGGCGGCGGAGGCTGCGCGAGTGGAGGCGGAGGCGGCGACGGAGGCGGCGCGGACGGAGGCGGAGGCGGCGAAAGAAAAGGCAGCAGCGGCGACGGAGGCGGCGCGAGTGGAGGCGGAGGCGGCGAAAGAAAAGGCGGCGGCGGCAGAGGCGGCGCGAGTGGAGGCGGAGGCGGCGGCAGAGGCGGCGCGGACGGAGGCGGAGGCGGCGAAAGAAAAGACGGCGGCGGCGGAGGCTGCGCGAGTGGAGGCGGAGGCGGCGACGGAGGCGGCGCGGGCGGAGGCGGCGGCGGCGAAAGAAAAGGCGGCGGCGGCAGAGGCGGCGCGAGTGGAGGCGGAGGCGGCGACGGAGGCGGCGCGAGTGGAGGCGAAGGCGGCGACGGAGGCGGCGCGGGCGGAGGCGGAGGCAGCAAAACAAAAGGCGGCGGCGGCAGAGGCGGCGCGAGTGGAGGCGGAGGCGGCGACGGAGGCGGCGCGGGCGGATGCGGAGGCGGCGAAAGAAAAGACGGCGGCGGCAGAGGCGGCGCGAGTGGAGGCGGAGGCGGCTAAAGAAAAGTCGGCGGCGGCAGAGGCGGCGCGAGTGGAGGCGGAGGCGACGGAGGCGGCGCGGGCGGAGGCAGAGGCGGCGAAAGAAAAGGCGGCGGCGGCAGAGGCGGCGCGAGTGGAGGCGGAGGCGGCGACGGAGGCGGCGCGGGCGGAGGAGGAGGCGATGCGAGTGGAGGCGGCAGCGGCGACGGAGGCGGCGCGAGTGGAGGCGGAGGCAGCAACAGAAAAGGCGGCGGCGGCGGAGGCTGCGCGAGTGGTGGCGGAGGCGGCGACGGAGGCGGCGCGAGTGGAGGCGGAGGCGGCGACGGAGGCGGCGCGAGTGGAGGCGGAGGCGGCGACGGAGGCGGCGCGGGCGGAGGCGGAGGCGGCGAAAGAAAAGGCGGCGGCGGCAGAGGCGGCGCGAGTGGAGGCGGAGGCGGCGACGGAGTCGGCACGAGTGGAGGCGGAGGCGGCGACGGAGGCGGCGCGGGCGGAGGCGGAGGCGGCGAAAGAAAGGGCAGCAGCGGCGACGGAGGCGGCGCGAGTGGAGGCGGAGGCAGCAAAAGAAAAGGCGGCGGCGGCAGAGGCGGCGCGAGTGGAGGCGGAGGCGGCGACGGAGACGGCGCGGGCGGAGGCGGAGGCGGCGAAAGAACAGACGGCGGCGGCGGAGGCTGCGCGAGTGGAGGCGGAGGCGGCGACGGAGGCGGCGCGGACGGAGGCGGAGGCGGCGAAAGAAAAGGCAGCAGCGGCGACGGAGGCGGCGCGAGTGGAGGCGGAGGCGGCGAAAGAAAAGGCGGCGGCGGCAGAGGCGGCGCGAGTGGAGGCGGAGGCGGCGGCAGAGGCGGCGCGGACGGAGGCGGAGGCGGCGAAAGAAAAGACGGCGGCGGCGGAGGCTGCGCGAGTGGAGGCGGAGGCGGCGACGGAGGCGGCGCGGACGGAGGCGGAGGCGGCGAAAGAAAAGGCGGCGGCGGCAGAGGCGGCGCGAGTGGAGGCGGAGGCGGCGACGGAGGCGGCGCGAGTGGAGGCGAAGGCGGCGACGGAGGCGGCGCGGGCGGAGGCGGAGGCAGCAAAACAAAAGGCGGCGGCGGCAGAGGCGGCGCGAGTGGAGGCGGAGGCGGCGACGGAGGCGGCGCGGCG